GGGCCTGATAAAGATAGCAATTAAGTAACTATTATTGTAATTCTTCCATCTGTAGACCAGTCAATTAACTATATCTTGGAATTAGATATCTGCCAGCATATTTACCTAGGCTCATAAGATTCAATCAGTGCTATGCATAACGGCTTCGGTATTTAAATTTGAATATAGCCATGCGGTTGCTTTTACGTAAACCTTACAGCATTGAAGAAGGCGGACAAGACGTATCCACAACAGACACTGACTAATATTATTTGAGTTTTTGATTTCACGAAAATAAAAACTGATAATGCAAAGTTTAAGTAATGTTTCTCGCAATATTCGACGAAAGAAAGGTATTCATTTGGACTGCACTAAGTCCGAGATGAAGCGCTGTATAGGAACTTCCACGCTTTCGGCTCTTGCGATTGGAAATATGGTAGGCTGTGGCGTGTATGTAGTGACAGGCGAAGTAGTCAGAAATATCGCTGGGCCGTCGGCAGTGCTATCATATATAATCGCAGGTATATTAGTCTTCGTAATTTCGCTTTGTTTTTCTGAATTTGCTATCAGATTTCCAAAAGCAGGGTCTGTGTATTACTACAGTTATGTCGCTTTTGGTGAAATATGTGCGTTCATCACTGGGTGGAATGCAACGTTCGAGAAGACTGTATCGGTCGCAGCTATAGCAAAGGCCCAGAGTAATTTTATCAACTACATGACAAATTCACTTATTAAGAATGTCACCATAAAATATATTTTAAACGGTCAAGCTTGGGATCATTCAGTTATAACGGATTATCCTGATTTTTTAGCCAGTCTTATAATAATTGTGGTTTGCATTCTTTTAGCTCTTGGAACTCAGATTTCCGCTCGGCTCAACAATTTGCTTGTTGTCACCAATATATCCGTTATTGCAATAATGTTGTGTACTAGTGTATTTTACGCAGATTATTCTAGATGGTCAGCTAAAGCAGGTTTTTTCCCGTACGGAGCTGAAGGCGTTTTAGTTGGAGCGGCGACATGTTTCTGGGTATATACAGGATTTGATGACATCTCTTGTTTCAGTGAAGAAATAATTAATCCTGCTAAAAGCATTCCCATTGCCACTTTCGTTGGAATTTTTGCCACGGGGGTGACTAATTCAGTTGTTGCTTTAGTGATAACAGCAGTGCAACCTTATCAAGAAATAGACGCAAATTCTATGCTAACATCAGTGTTTACGTCACATGGCAACACGTGGATGACTGTTGTCATTGGAATTGGTGTCACGGCAACGGTTGCCTCGATCATTGTCACGCATGCCTCCGTTGCACGTATAATCCAAAACATGGCGGCAGACAGGCTTTTATTCAAATCGCTTGCGCACATCGACCAGCGCACTGGTGTTCCCTCTAGGTCCACCATTTTTTTAGGCCTGGTTTGTGCTGTCATGGCGATGATATTCGATGTAGCAAAGCTTGTTGAATTTGGGGTGCTTGGTGCCCTTAGTTCATACATTATGACATCCGTTGGTGTGCTTATTCTACGTCATCGTAACAGTGAGAGTGATTTTGGTGGCACTAAATCGTACAATAACAACACTGAACCTTCATTATTGTTTAAAGGCATGAGAAAAAATTATACAAGTGGACCGCAACAAAACTACAATTTCTATAAGCCGAAACATTATTCAAAGTTTCTCGTGGATAGATACTCCACTGAATCGGTCGCAACATGGTCTGTCGTGCTTATAGTTATTCTTTTGACAGCGGTTTGTGTTGTCGTCATACATTTTTTTAACTTGCTGATTGAACCAAATTGTTACATGGTCGTGTTTTTGGGTGGAATGTGTTTTGCCATTATTTTGGTGCTTACCGTGTTGGCACAGTGTAAAGAAGTAAATATACCAAACGAATACAAGGTATGTTTGTTATACTGGTTTACATTATCTTAATAGTAACATTTATTAAAACTTTAATTTTATTCAGAAGTCTTTTTTCAAAATAGAATCATTCAAGTTGTTGACGTCCTTCTCCCAAGGGCGCTCCTCCCCCCCCCCCCCCCCTTATACACATCTCTCATAGATACGACACAGCTGTGTTGTTATTGTCTGCGTTGGTGAATATCATGATTAGACCAAGTACAAATATGTTAAGCACCATATTGATAAATTGATTGATTGAGGGAAGCCGATTAATACCGTATCTTTTATCAAATTGGTCGCCCTCGATATGCCATACATAATTTATACTTTAACCATTTGCACAATTTTGATTATTATATTTTTGTTACCATTCCATGCATCCACTCGTTACTTGTATATGGTTTTGTAATAGGTTCGTGGAGGAGCGTGGGATTGGTAAAGGCAATCATTTAATATATTTTATTCATTTTGTTATGTGTTGCTGTTTTAATGAACCGTCAAAATTACTAGTGCCATTTTTTTCTAAGAAAGTGTGTTCAATATTTGAGCCTGTTTGTCTGAAATTATTTATTATTAATGTTTTGTCTTTAGGTCCCAATGACGCCTTACTTTCCCCTTCTTGCTGTGACGATAAATATTGTATTCATTCTGCTGCTGAAGCCTGTAACGTGGCTTTTCTTCCTATGCTGGGATGGCTTAGGTTGGTAAAGTTTTTTATACATTAGATTTTGAAGTGGTGGGTTGCATTTTTAGGGACGCTAGCACAAGTAACATAAATCATCATTTAATGTTCAAGTTCAACAGAAAATTTATTTCTCAACATAGGCCTATTAATAATACAAACATTATACATAAGTTGCCAAGCTTGAGGGGCGATAATCGCAGAAAGAGGAGCTTATGCAGGGCTGTCCAGACAAAACGAGGATGCTCAATTTTTTTTAGTGTTATTTGGGACAAAACAAAGTGATACGTTTTAGTAATAGGGATTGGGGATGGCTAAAGGGAATGGAAAATTTTGCATAATTTGATAGGAGATGTTTCTTTATTCTTAAACAAGAGTTATATATTGTAGAATTGGAATTTAGAAGAGAGTGAGGGTGATTTTTCCACAGCTTAGGACCAGTAAATTGAATATTGTGCAGGAAAGAAGTGGTTCTATGAACGGGAATAATTATGAAGATGATTGGGGGAGCGGGTAAAATGACTGATAATTAAATTTGAAATTAAGTAATGTTTTGAATTGAGGGGGAGCGCAAAATCGACCCATGAAAAAATGAAAGCACATTGAAGATGGTTGATATCGTTATTTTTTTTTTTAGAAAACCAAGGGAGGGAAATAAAGGATCGATGTGGGCTCGTGGAGGTGCACCCGATATAATTCCTAAAATGTCCTAAAACTATTGTAAGCACAATAATCTGTGCACTGTTCTGGCATTGTTCTGTGCAGCTCTTTTATGCCCGCCTTGCGTCCATCCCCGCACCGGCAGATTCTGTCCCCAAAAAAGGTTTTACTGGTAAATTGACGGTTCTTGTCGGTTGTTGTGTCATAACCAGGTTAATCAATGTATATTAGATCTATTGATGTCACCAATCATTTTATCGTACCTTTTGTTTTGTTTTTCGGCATTTCATTATTTGAATACATTATTATGTTTTAAATAACGGTATTTGGGTTGTTAAAATATTTTGCGTATGTGCAGTGCTGCTAAAATCATTTTTCTTCATTTTTACATTCCAGGTTTATTAGTCTACATATTTTACGGATATCGAAATAGCATTGAAGGACTGGTCAAGTCACGTGATGAGAGAGACCCTCTTCTCAATAAGAACACTGGTAGCAGCATGTCTTCGGGTCCCAATACCAGTGTATGTTGTTCCTTGTATGAATCTACCATCTAGTCAGCAAATAAGCATGATGATCAAATAGACGAATTACGGAAACGGAAACAACAGTTCATTGATGGGGGAAAGAGACGTGCATTCATTTGTTACCCACGTTATTTATTAACCTAAACATTCTTGAATATAAGGCCACGTCACCCATTGGAAGCAATTTTGCTGGTCATTAAATAAATTACATCTTAATTGCTAGGCGACATTTGTAAATAACAGGAATAATTTTTATTCCAAGACAATAATTATATTGAATTATTTATATTAATTTCGGCACCAAAAGTATAATTTATTCTATTGTTAAAAGATTTAATGATGAGTCAATGTTAATTATTTATGTATATTGGAACCGTCAAGATAAAATTGTTAATAAAAAATGATGGTCATGTAATTTGAATTGTTAAAAATTAATAGCAATATATTAAACTGCAATAACAAATCGAATCATTTTGTAGTAGTAATTACACTTCATTACTTGACACTATATTGACTTTAAATAACAAATAAAGCCTGCAAATTTGTTTTAACGTAGGCAGGTTCGGTAAAGTCTTATGAATATTATTCATAATTATCCTTATAGAACATATTATAATATCTAACATTATTAAAGACCCGCTTTTTAATCACTTTTATCCGCTTAGTTCGCCCAATTTCTTTTTATTTTTTTAATCGAACACTAGGTCCCTCACGATGCACAGAGCAGCTGATTGTCGCGCAAAAATATGCTCTAAAAGCATGATTATGAATGATTCATTGATTTTACCAAACTATCCAGGTTAAAAAAAAAATGCGTGCTCTGAACCATGGCGGTCCATTGTTAATTTGGTAGTCGGAATGATAATCAACCACTAATGTAACATTAATTAATAATTTCGAATGCGGGGAATATATACATTACAAAAAGTAAAAGCAAGAACATTTTGGGCGTGGTCGAGCGTCGCAAACAATCTTTCGAAAGTGGTCGAAAAATATGACAATTTAGGGGTTTCAAAGGCTTATTTACAGTAATCGATTTTAGAGTCAAATATATAATATGTAGAAACTTTTTTCTCCCGACGTATTGTGGGGTTACCCCCGACAGGAAGTTGGTAGGGAGCTCTCCCCGATGGGGACCTGACTCCCCTACACCACTGGAGCCACACCTGGTTCTCGTTGGAAATTTATCAAGTTTTTTGAACTTTTAAAATGAACAATTCGATGTTGTATGCAATATCTTTTTCTCAAACATTCTTCAGAAACAAGACAATATTTGTTAGTTGTTAGTGATGCTGTTGTACAAACACAAATAAAGCATAAAGAATAGTAGGAACAAGCTCATATATGAGCCCAAAGGTTTTGGCTGCCTAGACATAATAAATTTCTTTTAAATACTTTATAAAATACTTAGATGGGACAATATGACACTTTTATTTTCTTTTTAAAGTGTATTAACTAATGTATTTACAGTACGTATTTTCCTTTAAGAGGCTATCCATTCCTTTCAATTTCAAAGACCACATGCTTCGATTGGGGCCCACTTAGACTCTGTAATTAAGTTTCCAAGGGTTTTTTAAAGTTGCCATAAAAAAGTTCTTTCATAGTAATTAGAATATTTTAGTGACAATCAGCCTAAGTTATTGATTAGATAACAACGATCAATAGAAGTAACGCATCGTAGTGGCGAAGATGTCGATACTCTTGTCAATCTGATTTCGTTTTCAAGTTCTAATAACAAGAAGTATATTAGGCCTCCTAATAGATAACACTCAAAAAATACCGGTCAATAGCAATGGGCCTAGCAATAAACATACACTATTAATAATTTATTAAATATTTATCGATTTCAATTTATTCAAACAAAACGTGGCCCTCTAGAGTTACCATAATCATCTCAATCTGTGAAAGTCCCTCCCTGGTCCTCTTCTATTTCAAATTCCAGGATCCGCCACTCAATTGGCTTTTTCATTTTTCAAAGAAACATCATCAGACATTATCTAATCAATCATTGAATATAATGATAGGCCTATGCAGAATAATAATATAATAATATGCAGAAATTTATAACGCGCCAATTCAAAAAATTATCAAAGGCGCAGTGAACAATTAACCCAATTAAAGCGATTTTGTATAAACAAAAATGTTTTCAAGTTGGTTTTAAATGAGTTTAAATTTGAAGATTGTCGAACAGAAAGAGGTAAAAGATTCCAAAGATAAGGTACCTGAACAAAAAAAAAGAACGTTGTCCATATGTTTCTAGCTTTTTCTTTTTTGAAGAGGCTTGAAGAAGAAATTTATTGGAAGAACGAAGTGTACGAGTTGGAGAATATGGTTAAAGAAAATGTACAAATATGATGGTTGTTTAAAAAAGAAGTGATTTAAAAACAATTAGCTAAATATTCTTGAATATTATCCGTTGTTTTATTGGAAGCCAATGAAGGTCTTTAAGAATATGCGTAATGTGTTGTTTACGTGGAGTAAGCGAACACATCCTGGCAGCTGAATTTTGAACTTTCTGTAAACGATGAGTAGAAAATCAGGCAAACCGACAAGCAATGAATTACAATAATCTAACTTAGTGGAAATATAAGCATGAACTAAAGTTTCGGTGAACTTGGAACTAAAATAATTTAAATAGTTAACATAAACAAATTCAGTGTAATGTTGATTGACAAGGAACCCGGTAAAAGTCTTTAAAATCCGCTCTATGCTATTATCTTTTAAGTGAAATCTCGTGTTGTACTCAGTCACCTATAAGACCTACGCACATCTCCCTAACCTTCACCCCTTAACAAATTTTTTTTATACACTAGTCTATTTAACACATGGCGAAGCTCAGGTAAGAGGCCTAATTCAAAAATTGATCGATGAGCGATCAATCATCACTTTTAGAATGAAGGATAGATGTAGTACTATTATTGTTAATATGTAATTAGGTTTCCAAGGATGTTTTAAAATTGTCATAAAGGTGCTTTCATAGTAATTAAAATAATTAATTGACAATTAGCCTAAGTTATTGATTCGATAACAACGATCAATAGAAGTAAACGCACCATGAGTGGCGAAGATGTCGATATTCTTGTCAATCTGATTTCGTTTCAAAGTTCTAACAAGAAGTATTATAGGTCTGCTATTAGTAATGCAACAATCTAAAAATACCGGTATCAATAGCAAAAACAATGACACTATTAATAATTTAATAAATATTATCGACTTTAATTTCAATTTATTCAAACAAAACTTGGCCCTGAGTACAGTTTCTTTTTTTCTACGGAATGCAAAGTGTAAATATAGACAGGTTGGTCTAACTATAAACATTAGGCCTACTAAATGACAAGTTTGCTTTTTTCTTTTTATTTGCAAATCAGAATAAAGTTTACAATGTAACAAAAAATGAATTTCTTCTCAATAATACCATGTTTACATAAGCAATGTCTATCTGTCTTATCTAACCTTAATCATAATAATAATTTATATATAATATAATTAATAATGATAATAATAATGATAATAATAATAATAATAATTATTATTATTATTATTATTATTATTATTATTATTATTTACGTGGTTTCATCTTGCAAAAGACTAATAAGTCCCTCACTTTGTTTGACAGCGTAATAGAAGAAACATATTAATATAAACCAACTACGTTCATGTTTGAGTGTAATACTGTTTTAAATAATTAATACGGTAGCAGTAGCATAATAGCAGTGTAGCAGAGACAGGCCCGTAGCCAGGGCAGCAGC